TCTTTAGAACTTTTTCAAGACAGTAAAACTTGAGAAAGGGTATAAGGTCACCAAGTGAAAGGAAATCTTCAGGGTCACAGATTATACTTAAATTTTGATCTTCAGAATCTATAAGGCAACCTTTGTGATTATTCAATCCCTCTACCTTTAAAGAACTTACACCAATAAGAAGCAGGCTACAGAAGCTATCTAAAGCCCTCAAGGAAAGGCATCTTCCACTGCCTATCTCAGATATAGCTAGCCATAGCTGAGAGGGAGTCAGGGCTTTGGAAGATAACAAGCAATTCGTAAAATATGAGTTAACCACAGATCTAGAGGTTAAGTCGAACAGAAAAAGAAGGAATAGCAAGATATTCCTATCCCTGAGGTACCCAGTCTCAGCAGTTAGTCAGCTTTAATTCATGACTAAGTTCACTTACAAGTAGTATAGTGGTACTGTGGGTAACTGGTTTATTAAGGACTACCAACCCCACAGATAACAAAAATCTCGATGTGCTCAAGTCTCTTTTATAATACCTAAAATAATATAAATAACTGATTTTGGCATCCTGGCCAGGGTGAGGGGGGGTCCTGGAATCAATTTTCCAAAGATACCAAAAGACAATGGTATCTGGTAGATTTTTTGGTAGCATTAATTGCTATAGTAGAAATCCAACTTTGTTTCCTTGTTCCTTCAACAACCACATGGCTCAGGAAAGAAAACTCATATTCAAGCAGTTTCAGGAGGATAATGAAAAATAAGGATAATGAAAAATGCCTTCTTCTAATGTCAATGACTTGGTCTTAAACTCTCATGGAGGAACCTTAGTTACTCAATTCCAATGTTGTATCACCAAAAACTATTTTAGAGAATCTCCTCTTAAAAGATTCCAATAACTCCTTCCCAATGCCTGTTTACTCGTGTTTTCCTTGCTTTTGCTCCTTTTCCCAAACTGCCACTGTAGCTTCTGCAACTACAACTTTCAATTTATAATGAGTCTTTAGATGCCACTATTGATTTACTTGGTGTTCTGAGAAAGAGGTCTAACACAGACAGGAGTCAGCAAAGTACAAAACTACCCTACTTATTCCTTGCTTTATAATAAAAATTTTACAATAAAACATTAATTGGGATAAAGCGACACCCATTCATTTTCAAACTGTCAATGGCCAGTTCACGCTACACTGGTAGAAATAAGTAGTTGTGACAGAGACCACAGGACCTACAATGTCCTACTTTGCTATTTGGGACTTAAAAAAATAACAATATTCAAGTGAGTTTAACCAGTCTGTGAAATATTTCAAAGTTCTAATTCTAAATCAAAGTTTTAAGAAAAATGATGCCCCTGTTGGTTTTATTCACTCCAACATGAAACCATTCTTACTTAGAGGCAAATACTTTGCTTTTAAAGTACATCTTAAGCAGGCTTAAGAATAATGTCCCAAACCACACTGAGATCCCATCTCCAGTCAGTACGGCAAATATCAAGAACAATAAATGCTGGTGAGGCAGGGAGCAGTGGTGCACACTTGTAATCCCAGCAGCTCGGGAGGTTGAGACAGGAGGATCCTGAGTTCAAAGCCAGCCTTAGCAAAAGTGAGGTGCTAAGCAACTCAGTGAGATCCTGTCTCTAAATAAAATGCACACACACAAAAAGAGCCTGGGGATGTGGCTCAGTGGTCGAGTGTCCTTGAGTTCAATCCCTAGCACCCCCCTCCCCCCAAATAAATAAAAGTTGGTAAGGATGTGGGGAAAAAAGGGACATTCATACATTGCTAGAACTGCAAATTGGTTGTGACCACTCTGAAAAGCAGTATGGAGATTCTTCAGAAAACTTGGAATGGAATCACCATTTGATCCAGTTATCCCACTCCTCAATATATACATACTCAAAGGTATATTTTAAGAAATCAGCATACTACAGTGAGGCAGCCACATCAGTGTTTACAGTAGCTCAATTCATAGTAGCTAAGCTACGGAA